GCTCCGTACACACCAGCTCCTGCAGGGCAAAACTAAACACGCCCACATAAATCACTCACTCCATAATTATACCCCCTCTTTATTCTGTCAGGGTCTGTACCAGTTTCTACGCCCCTCCTCTTCCTCCCCCCCTCTTCCTCGCTCCTCCCCCGTCTCCATGGACTACGCTCAGTTCGGAACAGAAACATCTCCACCTCTCATCCCTGCTGAGTCGGACCCTGCCAGGTGTGTTGGTGAAGCATCATAGCTGTGCAAACACCACGTTTCTATTTCTGGTAAATGTTGCAGATAAATGTGTTGCACAGCACTAATCGCATCATTACAGACATTTCTTTCTTTTTCTAGAGCCCCTCAGTCCCACCTGCAGTTTGTTGCTGGTAAAGCATGTAAATCAGTGTCTGGCTGCAGTGTGGCTGTGCAGCCACCAGGTGGTAGTGGTGGTGTGTTGGCCTACTGCCCAGACGGGGGCCGGAAGGACGTTCGCAATGCTGTGGAGGCTGCTGTCAAAGTCCAGCCAGGGTGAGAGCGCAAACACGTACACGTCATTCAAACAAACCAAAAACACAACTGAGGTTTGTGTACTCGCACAACAGATGTTGTTGAGTTTATGAAACTGCAGATATTCCAATATGTAGTCAGTATATTAGTGGAAAAGCCATCAAGTAATGATGTAGGTACGAATCATCCCTGTTAGCCAAAAGCTTTGAGTTTCTGGATGGTTTCACAGGTTGTTTCAAGTCTTTTCTTAAAACTGGAGACGGGGTTCACCTCCCACACCTGCACCTGTGCAACCACAGGAGGGCTGAAAGCTGCTTCTGCACTGAGAAACTGCCAGTCTGAGAGCAGAGTGCTCTGTTGGTTTTAAGATGTGATTATTTAAGAGCTTGAGAAGAATTTAAAATAAAATTCTGCATCTACGACAGAGCCACTACAGAAATGTTAATATTTTAAACTTCGAGTCAGACGAGGCTGTTCGACTGGTAGAGTCACAAAGTAGAAATCTGGAGCGTGAACTGAGCAGAGTAACAAACCATATTAAAGTAACAAACTTTAATATTGTTTGTTACATTTTTACTCCATACACACATGTAGACGGTGTCCTCTGAGCCTTCCTGCTCTTATCAGCCGGGCGACTGTAGGGCCGCGCTGATAACTCGACTGTGGGAACAGATAAAAAGTGCAGAGTCATGAACTCGACACAAACTGCTTACAGAGTTTTATTCCACTGAAATCTCACAAACACAAGCTGTGAAGCAGGACGTGTGGCCATCACTCATCACAGTCTTTAACAGTTTATAGATTTTATCCACAGTAATGAACCTGACAGACACATGAGTCCCAACAAATGGCATCAGGTTTATTTATATTATTGTTGTTGTATTTCTTTGTCTCTTGTAGCTGGATGAAAAAGAGCGCGTCTGCACGTGCCCAGTCACTCTACTCTCTGGCCAAGGGCCTCGAGGCGAAGAGGCGGGACATAGCTGCAGCCATCAACACGCAGACTGGCCTGTCAGTGGACGAGGCTGAGAAGGAGGTGGAGCTCAGCGTTACCAGGCTCAGCGTTTGGGCCGCTTACTGTGACAAAGTCCAGGGAGGAGCACTGGTGAGGCCTTTGATGTTACACAAAGATGCTGAAACTTAACAAAGTATCAGCTGAGGCCGTCTGACGCTCGGTGTTCCCCTCTCCTTCAGCCCATGCCAAACTCTGGCTCCGCTCTCTCCGTCCCTGAAGCCCTGGGAGTCGTGGGGGTCGTCCTACCTGACTACAATCCCCTCCTCTCCATGGTAACCGTGCTTGGGGCAACTATTGCCACAGGCAACGCTGTTGTTATGGTCCCCAGTCAAAAGTATCCACTGCCTGTCTTGGCATTCATCAAGGTAAGTG